AGACAGAGTCTCAAGCTGTCCCCCTGGGTAGAGTGCCATGGCATCACAGCTCACAGCAACCTCCAATTCCTGGGCTCAAGCGAGTCTCCTGACTCCGCCTCCCAAGTAGCTGGGACCACAGGCGCCTGCCACAACGCCTGGCCATTTTTTGGTTGCAGCCATCGTTGTTGTTTTGGCGGGCCCAGGCTGGATTTGAACCTGCCACCTTAGATGTATGTGGCTGGTGCCTTAGCTACTTGAGCCACAGGCGCCGAGCCGCCATTGTTACCTTTTGCGGGAGAAGAGGCAGAGAAATATACTGGGGTGTAAAGAAAAGGGATCTACTCCTCCCCTTCAACCTAATAGGCAGCTTCTCCTGAATTCAGAATAGTGACAATTTTTTTTTTTTGAGACAGTCTCACTGTTGCCCTAGGCTAGAGTGCCATGGTCTCATAGCTCATAGCTCACAGCAATCTCAAACTCCTATGCTCAAGTGATCCTCATGCCTCACCCTCCTGAGTAGCTGGACTACAGGCACCTGCCACCATGCTCTGCTAGTTTTTCTAGACAGGGTCTTGCTCTTGCTCAGGCTGGTCTGGAACTTCTGAGCTCAAGCAATCCACCCACCTCAGCTTCCCACAATGCTAGATTACAGGCGTGCGCTACCGCTCCCAGCCTCCCCTTATGTCTTTTTTTTTTGGAGAGAGGGTCTCACTTTGTTGCCCTCGGTAGAGTGCCGGAGCATCACAGCTCACAGCAACCTCCAGCTCTTGGGCTTAGGTGATTGTCTTGCCTCAGCCTCCTGAGTAGCTGGGACTACAGGCCCCCACCACAACACTCAGGTATTTTTTTTTGTTGCAGTTTGGCCAGGGCCAGGTTTAAACCCACTACCCTCGGTATATGGGGCCAGCGCCCTTTCACTGAGGCATAGGCACCGCTCCCAAAGATAAGAATTTGAACTGCCATGCCCTCACTAAAAGCATGCCAAGGAAATTCCATGTTCTGATTCCTCTCCTTTAGGACTGTCAATGGCAGGATACCAGCTCTGGTCACCATGGACCCCACTGGACGAGAGCTTCCAATGGCTGCGGCATACAACACCTACACCTTCCTCCAAGCACCCCTTTAGGGCCTCCCCCTGCTTCCCACACACCCCTTCTGACCTTGAGGTGCAGCTGTGCTTTCAAGAAGTCACTCTAGTCCTAGACAGCTCATTCCTGGAATCTGGAGTGAGCCCCAAGTTACCATGCCACACATCAGAGCTCCGAACCATGAACAACAAGAAAGGACTGGTCAGGAAGCCCCAGCCCGTCCGTCTCAGTGGAGTGGATTCTGTCTTTGGCAGGGTCATCACAGCTCAGCCACCAAAGTGGACTGGGACCTTCAGAGTTTCTGACAAGTCAGCCTTTTGCAAAATCATTAGCAGGGAGCATCAGTGGCCCACTGGACTTAAGGAGCCTCAGATTCAGATGACAGTGACTATGTGCAAACAGATGCTGCGCTCTATCCTCTTGCTATACGCAACGTACAAGAAGTGCACCTTTGCCTTGCAACACTCCAAGTAAAGGGTCCTCATTTGAATCCCAGTTCTTCACACCATGTCCTTTGGTATATGTACCTGCAGTTTACAGAAACAGAAACCTGTCTACATCCACGAAACTGTGACATTGCCCAGCCATTTTGCTTTTCTGTCAAGCAGTAACCATTTGTGAGCCCCTTTTCTCCCTTCCCCTTCAAAAATGGGGCAGTAATACCAAGCAAGGGAGAACACTTCCATTGCAAAGCTGAACAACAATTTAAAAAAGAGTCAAAACTAGCACACATGTACATGTGATAAAGAACCATTAAACAAACCATATAAAACCACTGAGCTTAGTGTGAACTCACTTAAACATGGAAAACCACAGTAAACTGGGATAGTAAGGGGTGGGGGTCCAAGGAAAGAGAGGTATGGATTTCTATGTACCAGAGAATGAAGGGGTAAATATCCATGTGAGTCAAGGATTAGTTTAAAAAACAAACAACTTCCCCCCTCCAAAAAAAAAAACAACAACAAAAAACCCTAACCAGCCACAACCTAACACTACTAAAATCCAAAAGTGGGTAGAAGTACTAACAATATTTTGAATAATATTTACAGCCTGGGCAAGAAAGAATTTAGTAGTAGCACTGAAACTAGGCTTTCTGGCAGAAGGCATTAAAATCTCCATTTTAGTTGAAGTGTACTTCTAATGTTCTATGTCTAATAAACTACATTTTGTAGCATTTTACAACTAGATTATAGGTATGACTCAGAATAAGATGGAAATAAACATTATATATACAAAATCAACATGAGTTTGATGCTGCCCCCCCCCTTTGAGACAGCGTCTCACTTTGTTGCCCTCAGTAGAGTGCTATATAGTGTCACAGCTCACAGCAATCTCTAACTCTTGGGCTTAAGCGATTCTCTTGCCTCAGCCCCCTAAGTAGCTGGGACTACAGGTGTCCCTGACAATGCCTGCCTATTTTTAGAGGCAAAGTCTAGAACCCATGAGCTCAGGCAATCCACCCATCTGGGCCTTCCAGAGTGCTACGATTATAGGCGTGAGCCACTGCGCCCAGTCTCCCCTTCTGTCTTATATTATCATATCAACCCAAACATTTAAATAGCAGCCAAAATATTCCTTTGGATTTTCATGGGGCATTGCTCTTCCAGGATGACCACAAAGATCTCACCTCAAATGAAGTTGGTCCTTATAATAAGAGACATGATTTTAATCAGCAGAACTATGTAAGCACCAGTCTCTACATAAACCTCAACTCAATTCCATCTAATCCTTGAATAATGAAGGAAATCCAAAAATAGAAATAAGTTAGCTGACACAGAATTTAGAAGAGAATTTATTTATAAAACTGGGACAAGCCTAAATTCTAGAATAAATCAGAGAGTTTCAACACTTGTTCCTAAGGCCCAGGATGACTGAGTTTTTACTCTATAGCATAGCACTGCCATGTTTATCCAACCCAGTAAATAATGCTAGAGTGGAAACCTGGCACTTTGATGATGTTAGATAATCTATGAAATTAATTAAATAAAGCCCCCTCTTTAAGAACAAAATAGGATCCTTCCAGTTAGAAAGGCAAACAGCAGATATCAAACCATGAACACAAAATGGTCAGAGCTGGGACAGATGCGGAAGAGAACCACCAGTCTCTCCGGGTTCTACTCAGAGTCATCATAACTTTCATCACTATCTTGCTCTTTTTCTCCAGCACTTGCTTGATCTTCTTCACCATCCTAAAGGATAAAGGACAAATAAGTATTTCAGGTTACTACTCTGGGTGACCCTATGAATACAGCTCCCACAGGATGTATGACTCCACTATGCTCATTGTTAAAGCCAATGACAAATTTTAAACCAACCATTTTTAAAATAAATAAGCTGAGCGTTGTGGCGGGTACCTGTAGTCCTAGCTACTTGGGAGGCTGAGGCAAAAGAATTGCTTAAGCCCAAGAGTTAAGAGGTTGCTGTGAGCAGTGATGGCACAGTACTCTACTGAGGGTGACATAGTGAGACTGTCTTAAAAAATAATAATAACAGGCTTGGCACTCCTAGCACAGTGGTTACAGGGCCAGCTACATACACCAAGGGTGGCAGGTTCAAACCCGGCCCAGGCCAGCTAAACGACAATGACAACTACAACAAAAAATAGCCAGGCATTGTGGCGGGCATTACTCCCAGCTACTTGGGAGGCTGAGGCAAGAGAATCTCTTAAGCCCAACAGTTTTGTGTCTTTTTTTTGGGAGATAGTCTTATTATGTCACCCTCGGTAGAGTGCTGTAGTGTCACAGGTTACAGCAACCTCAAACTCTTTTTTTTTTTTTTTT